CCATCTCCCAATAACGAAAGGGAAATGCAGGCCGCTGCAGTGATCTTCTCATCGGCCTCTAGCTGCTTCTCTGCATACAGCAGCGTGACGAGGTTGATGATGAAACTGGGGTGTTTGAGTATAGTGGGAGTGATAAGAGAGAAAGTGAACGAGGGAGAGAAGTGGGTCCTCCAAGTTATACATGGACGACGACGAAACAAGAGCTCCCTACAATTCTACTGCAAAGGAGGAAGCACTAATAACAACAAGGAAACATTAACGGACGAATCCCTCAAGGCAGCCATCGCTTACTGCAATGCCTCATCTCTCTCCCCTCGTCTACAAGCTTAATACCCTTTCTTGGTGTTGGCCAAAGAAAAAAATTACTAAACTAATAATGTTGGTATATTATTTTGAAATTATATTCTCGACGAAAATGGATAGTCACAAATGTTCATTTGTAAGAAATAAAAAGTGTTAAACCCAAATATATTCTCCAAGTGATGACCAAGTTTTGTAAACCGCTAAACAGATTTACAGAGACTTTGAGTAGACTCGCAAATCATTTAATACACTAGTAATCTAGATCTAAATACCTTGAAACATATAAATACTATTTTTTTGAATAATAGGGGTGGGTCCAAAGGAGAAGCATCCTTCAAATAAGTTTTCGAATTAGCTAGCTACCCACTAAAAAGATCTGTTTTCGTAAATCATGTAACATGTTAGACTTTGTGGTGTTGTAATATGTAGAATTGAACAAAGCAAAAAACTTGTAAAGTTGAGTAATCAAAACCAAACAAAAAGGTCAAAATAAAAAAAGGGTTGGGGTCAGAAATCGGGCTTTTGGGCTTTTGCGGCTTAGAAAAGGAAAGGAGTGAGAAGGAAGGCAAGAAGCACGTGGCAGAGAGAGAAAGAGTCTCTTTTTCTGTATCTGTGTTGTAGTCGCAGAAAGATCGAGCGAGATTCGAGACAAGTCTTCTTCGATTGCTTAATCATCAGAAGACTCGATTCTCTGTTTTTTTTTCTCTCTCTCCTCTCTCCAGATTTTCCACCGTCAAAATCGGTGCTTTTGGGATCAGAGAATGATAGAGCGGATCCTAGCCGTCTTGGCAGATTCCATGGAGATTCCGGCGGCTGCCGGTCAATCGGTGCTCGGAACCATCAAAATCGCAGTGATGCCAATCGCCAAAGTGTTCACCATGTGCTTCTTGGGCCTTCTCATGGCCTCCAAGTACGTCAACATCTTGCCTCCCTCTGGCCGCAAACTCTTGAATGGGGTATTTCATTCGTCTTCTCACTTGTTCTTGTTTGCACAACCGAACATTGATGTAACATGTGTCTGTCTGTCTGTCCTCTTCATTACAGTTGGTCTTCTCGCTTTTGCTTCCCTGCTTGATCTTTTCCCAGCTCGGACAAGCCGTCACGCTCCACAAAATGCTCCAGTGGTTTGTTTCCCTATTCCCCTTTCTTTTCTTTGCCCTTCTTTCTATATAGAGATCATAAAGCATCTTCTTTTATCTATCAGGTGGTTCATTCCCGTGAACGTCATTCTTGGTACAATCTCAGGGTCGTTAATTGGTCTCCTTGTCGCCACCATTATTCGTCCGCCTTACCCTTATTTCAAGTTCACAATCATACAGATCGGAGTTGGTTAGTTACACCCTCTATTTCCTAAGACCTCGCTTGTCTGCTCTGTGACTAGTCTCACTCTGTGTTTGTTTCAGGTAACATTGGCAATGTGCCTCTTGTTTTACTTGCGGCTCTATGTAGGGACACCAACAACCCTTTTGGTGACTCCGAAAAATGTACCATTGATGGCACTGCTTATATCTCCTTTGGCCAATGGGTACGCTTTTCTCTCCCTTAAACCTTCTCCATGCCATCTAAGCGATTATCAGAGCATTAGCTGCTCCAGTTTATATCTTTACTCTCTGTTTTGATGAAGAGGAGCTGAATGTATGATGACAAGAGTAGCCGCTTTGAATCTATCTTCTATTGGATCTCTAGTTCCACTCTACTATTTGTCAACAGTGTTTATGGAGTTAGATATTGTTTCGGTTCCCTCCTGTGGTTTCTCTCAGGGACTTCAATTAACCATGAGGTTTACTTACTTTTATGTCAGGTTGGTGCCATCATCCTCTACACATATGTGTACCAGATGTTTGCTCCTCCTCCAGAAGGGTTTGATGCTGAAGAGGAAGATCCTCCTTTGAAAAATCTTCCAGAAGATGTTGCTCCAGAGCAAGTCCCCTTGCTTACTCAAAATTTCCCCAAGGAAATTTCGCCTCCTCAAGTTCGCCTGCCTGTACAAAACCCCGAACCTAGAGGAAGAGGGGATTCAAGGAAAAACAAGGTGAAAATGCAATTGTGGATTTTGATTTTATGATTCAGGAGTACTTTAACTGGTATAAAGCCGGTCCTTACGAATTTGTATACTTTGTTCCGTGATGCAGATTGCACAGATCTTTGTTTTCCTCTATGAGAAGTTGAAACTGAAGCAAATTGTCCAACCTGCAATAGTTGCTTCGGTAGGTATCTCGTCTGTTCTATTCTCTTGTATTATCTGACTGACAGTCCGATGAACAAGAGACCTTGCCATGTAACTAAACTAGACGTGTTTTGTTTACTTCAGATCCTTGCCATGATACTTGGTGCAATACCATTCACAAAGAAGTTGATATTCACAAATGGTGCACCTCTTTTCTTCTTCACAGACAGCTGCATGATTCTTGGGTAAGTGCACTCGTTATGTGTCTTATGGGAAACACCTGTGAACCAATGAGTTAATAGTTGTAAAACCTTTGGCTATCAGGGACGCCATGATACCGTGTATTTTGCTGGCACTTGGGGGGAATCTCATAAACGGTAGGGTGGCTGCTCTCTTTTCATACTGACTTTGTTTCAGTCCATCATATGGAACTTACTGGTTCCTTGCATAAATTTCAGGACCAGGAAGTTCAAAACTCGGTTTCAAGACAACAGCAGCAATTATATTTGGACGGTTGGTGTTGGTGCCACCAGTAGGACTGGGAATAGTGACATTAGCAGACAAACTTGGGTTCCTTCCTGCTGATGACAAGATGTTCCGATTTGTGTTACTCCTTCAGCACACAATGCCTACGTCAGTGCTCTCAGGAGCTGTTGCCAACCTTCGAGGCTGTGGAAGGGAGTCGGCTGCTGTACTCTTCTGGGTTCACATTTTCGCCATCTTCTCGATGGCTGGATGGATGGTTCTGTATATCAGCATACTCTTCTAAATTCTTCTCTTCCCTGACACATTCATCTGCTACTATAAGAGTCTCTTAGTTACACTTTGATGTAAATACAGCGTCATCTTGTGTGTGCCTGAACCAACCAAAAA